TATATATATATATATAAAACACCATATTTTTATCGTAAGATAGGCAGACATTGGTTGGTGAGAAATGTTGTAAGTTAAAAACTGGAAAAAAACCCCACAGGTCTGTGAAGAGGAGAACTTACAGAATCTCAAAAACAAAGCTGGCAGCAGTCACTGAGTCTTGAGATGTCTGTGTGAGGACTTCAAAATCCTCTACAGAGGATTACGAGGACCCTAGAAGAAAAATAAATGTATCTCATTATTAATAATTTGTCCTCCGGAAAAAAAAATTGTGTTCTTGACAAGTTTTTATGACGAAATTGGTACAAGGTGAAGCGAGTGGAGTTTTTCTGATACCTTTGTAGCCTTGCACAAATCTTTCATTGTTCTGGTGGGAAGGGATGAGGGCTTATACACTGTGGAGGGTGATCTCATTAGGAGTAGTTGTAATATGAAAAACTGCCCCCACGAAACCATTCAGTAGACTGTATTAAAGCTCTGTTAAAAATATTAAGCACTGTGTCCCACAGAAGCCTGTTTTGAGGTTTTCAAATGTTTTTTTGGAGTTACTTTTTTTCTTAGTTAACTTGCTCTTGATTACAGATCTGAGTTATGGTTGATGTAATTAATATACTAATTTTATTTGACTCAGTAAAAGAGGGAAAGTATCCAAAAAAGAAAGCAGTGTATGTTGGGAAGTGGGTGGGGCACAGGAGCTGAGTGAGTGTGGGGGGGATGGATAGAGAAGAAATTGGTGTTTGGTAACTGGAATTGAAGTAACCTGTTTATTAAACATGCTTCTTAATTTCTAACTGTGCTGATGTTGACAAAAGAATTAAATGATAACTTGTACTTGAATACAGTAGCATGCTCATTTGCAAGAACACTTCCCATTTTTGGCTTGCTTCCAAAGCAATCGCTAAGAGAATATGCTACTCTGGAAACAGTCCAGAGGATCGTTTATGGTATTTTTCCTCTTTTCTTTCAGTGATCCTGTTAAGAGTTTCAAAACAAACTCTGGCTCCATATTGAGGCAAGTTAATGTATTTGAGAGGGAAAAGGTGGGAGGCAGGCACTCGCCGAATGCACACCGTTGGCAGCTCAGAGTCAGAGTGATCTGGTTGACTGTGGTGCACAATAGTAATTGCCGTCTGTGATACTTGTTAGCTGTGTCTGTGCTCAAGGATGTTATTAAGTATGATCAACTATGTATTGACCGATAACACAGCTAGCACACTGATACTGTGTCTGTTTTTTGTGACAGATATTGAGAGAAACTTATCTGAACATTGACACTAATGCAACTGGCTATCTGTTACTGTCAAGCTGTGTAACAGATCAAGCAGAAGCAAGTTGGTGTGTGCTTCCTTAACCCAGAGCTTTTATAGCCCTGTCTGAGGGCTCACTTCTGCAAATACTTTGTACCTGGCATGCTGCGTGACTTCTTTGGGACTACTCATGGCAGAAAGCATTGTGCTCTGTCAGGATGGGCAGAAGTCTGTGATTCCCCTCTCACACTTGCTAAAGCTCAGCTATATTAACTTAACACAATAGGAAGGTCTTTTAAAGATACAGAATAATACCTTATCTGGCTGTGTTGTAGCAAAGGTAGGAGTAGATAGCCACATTGTAGTTCCAAATTGAGCCTGTAACTCAGTGGGGATTTTCATTTGTGTTATGCTAGCTTGATTGGCTGGCTGTGATTGAAGAATGTGTTCTTTTTGCATACAGCTTCTCTCCTGTGTGTGAAATTTATTGAGTCCAGATACTAAAACAATTGAATTTTGATTTATACACAACTCTGCACTGAATATGTTGCCAGAAGATTTTTTTTGTTGTATGAATGTAAGTAACTGGTAATGCTGGGAAGGATGAGGAAGAAAACAATCACGAGCGGTGAAGCACATAACCTGGAAAATGAGCTCCCATGTGTTCCATCTTCAGTGCTTGATCTTTCAAGCTGAAGTAATCTTTTTTTTGGGTGTACACTGATCACTGCTCACTATAGGTGTGCCAAGGAGTCCATGCCACCTCAGTGATCTATCGTGTTAATGCACATACATAAGAGACCCAAATTTCAGAGAGCTCACAATCGTCATTTAAAGCAAAATCTTAAAGCTGGGTGAAACAAATATGAGAAAACTAGATGAGCCTCTGAACTTTGAATTGCAGATTCTTTTGCTTATATGCAAGGACACTATCTCCTTGGTGTTGATCTTATGTCTACTGGTGTGTGACACTAGGCTTAGGTGTGGAAGTTGTACATTTTAAAGGATTGTCTTGAAAGGTGCCCAGCAAAGGTACCAGAAAGGTACTTAGAAATATTCAGTTCTCCCAACATCATGTATTGCATCTGTTCCTGCAAAAAAAACCCCAACCACAAAAACCCAATAAAGTTCTCACTAACCGTAGCAGACTCCCAATAGGTCTAACTTCAAGTTTTTTCTCACAGTGGAGTCCAGTCAATATGTTGTGCATGTAGGGACCACACTGCGATCAGTGATTGGTACTTGAAAGAGAAAATAATTCTTGGAGAACTTCTAGTGTAATGTATTTTCCATCTGTTTCATGTTAGTTGGGGGTGGGGAGGGAGAGAATTAAATTTATTCAATTGGAGCAGTAGAGTGATATTTCAGAAGGTAGGAAGCATCTCTTAATGTGACTGAACTGAGAAATTACATAGATGATTTGGCACAAAGTAAAAACAATTCAGAATTCTAGGGAAAGCCAAATGGGTGCATTTTACTGTTAAACATTTTATAATACCATATGCATTAACAGTTGTTTTATTGGCCCCAAAATGGGGAGGGGATTATAGCTATTCGTACATTTTGTCTTGGTGAGGTAAAAAGGGAGCTACAAGCTTTTCTTCCCGGACTTTGTCATGTGCTGTACACTGTGCCAGACTACAAGCTGCATCTGTTCCTTCTTTTTTTCTTCTTGGGACAAACTTTTCTCTCTTGTCTTTGTGAAATATTACTTGATAACAGATCCAGAAACCAAATTTGCCTTATGCTTCGCATATTTGTGGTAA